CTGGTGGTCCCAGAGACCTCCGCTCCTAGACTGGAGAAATAATCACTCCCTTCCTTGCCACAAAACGTCTACCTTTGCATTTCCAACCCTCACATTCCATCCTGATAACCATTATTCACTACAGTATCGCGAGTAACCCATCTGTATTTCCTTTCATCAGCTCCACCTAGACAGATTGAATAGTACCTACTGGAGATTCTGCCTTCCGCCATGCTCCCTAGCTCTAGGTTCCCTCTTGAAAGCTTGTAAGCCAGTCACTTCTTGCCTTTGTAGTCACTCCCTCCCCAAAGACAAGATTCAGGAGCAGGTTGGGCCAGTCCCTCCCATGTTTATTCTTTTTCAGGGTTGGTTACCTTTGCTTGCTTTTTTCCCCTCCCACATGAACAGCATTCTGGTAGTTCGTTTGTAGGGATTGCATTACATTTCCACCACTCACCTGTCAGTTTGTCATACTGTACTGGCTTGCGTGTTGCTGTGATTCTGGAAGCTATGCCACCAGTATTTTAAACATTAGCAGGGTCATTGATGGTGGACAGATTTCGGATGAGCTGCTACACTAAGGTAGTGAGAAGGAGAGGTGGACGCCTTCCTAATGTTTAGTCACTGAAAACCATACGACTAGCAGTGGAACGCTGTCAGCTAGGACCCGAAGAGTGACAACTGAAACATGACGAAAAATGAGCGCCGTGGGGTGGAAGGCACTCAAAATGTGATTGGGGAAGAAGTGTCTCCTCAGAGTGGAGCTGACCATGATGACGGAAAGGAGTAAAGCTTTTCAGGGCGTTGAACAAGGGGTATCACTGCTGACATCAGGTGGATGTTGGCTGAAAGCAGAGAATACCAGAAAGATATTTACTTGTGCTTTGATTATGCAAAGGCCTTCGATTGTGCGGATCATGACAAGCTATGGACAGCATTGTGGAGACTGAGTACTCCGGAACACTTAGTTGTGCTCATGAGGAACCTGTTCACAGACCAATAGGCAGCATCTGAAGAGAACAAAGGAACACTGAATGGTTTAAAATTAGGAAAGGTGTGCACCAGGGTTGTCTTCTTTCATCATACTTACTCAATCTGTATGCTGAATCAATAAATTGAGAAGCCAGATTATATGAAGAAAAATGTGGCATCAAGATTGGAGAAAAACTCATTAACAAGGCTGACTTAAAATACTTACTGATGAAGATCAAAGACCACAAGGTGCACCTCCATATAAAGAAATGAAAAATCCTCACTGGTGGACCAATAAATAACACCAAAATAAATGGAGAAAAGATGGAAGTTGGCAAAGACTTCATTTTGCTCGATCAATTATCAGCACTCAATGGAAGCAGCAGTCAAGAAATCAAATACTGTATTGCATTGGGCAAATCTGCTACACAAAACCTCTCTGTAAAGTGTTCAAGAGCAAAATGAGGACTTAGGTACAAAATTTGAGGGCTAAGGTACACCTGAGCCAAGCCATGGTATTTTCAGTAGCCTCATATACATGTGAAAGGTGGACAGTGAATAAAGAAGACCATAGAAGAATTGATGCATTTGAGTTATGATGTTGGAGGAGAATATTAAAAGTACCATGGACTCCAAAAGAACAAACAAATCAGTATGTTTTGGAACTGTTGGAAGAAGTACAGCCAGAATGCTCCTTAGAAGCCAGGGTGACCAGACTTCATCTCTCATACTTCAGACATAGTATCAGGAGGAACCAGTCCCTAGAGAAGGACATCATGGTTGGCAAGGTGGAGGGTCAGAGACAAAGAGGAAGACCCCCTAGGAGATGAATTGGCACAGTGACAGAAGCAGAGGACTCAAGCGTAGCAGTGATTGTCAGGTTGGCAAAGGATGGAGCAGTGCTTTGTTCTGTTGGGCATAGGGTGACTATCAGTCAGTACCAACTTGACGTCTGGGGTGGCGCTATGGGCTAATGCGTCAGACTGCAAAGTCGTTTGAACTGCAAGGTCGCGGTGATTCAAGCTCACCAGCTCCTTGGAACCCCTATACAGGATTGCTATGGGTCAGAACCGACTCAACGTCACTGAACAACACCACTGCCATCAACAGCATTAAATTTACTTACTGAACCGTCTTCCCATCCAGGAACATGGACTTTCTTGGTCATCAGGTGGGCTTGACCATTTGCCTCATTAGGGTTTCCCATTTCATGTGGAGTGGGTAGCCTCAGGGGCCTTGGTCCTCCTGCCTGGTCAGCCAGCTGAAGGGGGTGGGGTACAGGGGTTAAGAGACCCTAGCTATCATCTGCATTGTTGTGTTCAGTGCCTTAAAGTCAGCGCTAAAGTCATGCTGACCCAATCTAGGGTTTCCGAGGAGCATCTAGTAGGTTTGAACTGCTGACCTTGAGGTTCATAATCTAGTGCTTATCCTACAATGCCACCAGGACCCTGCATTGTACAGAAGGGGAAATTGAGGCTGCATGCAGATCTTCCATCTTCGTGGGCCTGTGTTGATGGTGGGACCTGCCCAACTGGCCCCGGCACCGGATAGACTTGATGGACAGAAATGACATGGATCCTTAAGGCTAAGTAGGAAACAAGAGGAGTACAGGTGGTGGGAAGCTGTTGGGGTGCGGGAACCTGGGCAGGTGGGAAGGGTGGTGGGTTGATGCCTGACCAGGAGATGGCACTAGACACAGGCAATGCGGGGGTGGCCAGGAAGACTGGGGAACTCCCCCTCTAGATGGACAGAGACAGCCTGCCAAGCCCATGGGGAAGCAGGGTAGAGGTTGGGCACAGAGACCCCAGCCTCCTCGATGAAGTCCTGATCTGGAACTCAGATGGGGTCAGAGAAGGCGTGGGCACGACACTGGTGGGGAGGGAAAAGCCCCTCAGGTCACAGGTGTCTTGTAGAGAGGTTGCTGCCCACCTCCCAGTGGGATATGAGCCTGGTGATTGGGGGCTGTCTTCCTACAGACCCTAGAGGCAGCTGCAGGGGGAGTGGTTCTTGGAGGAAACCAGACTCATCCTGGCTGAGAGGAGACTTTATTGGGACCAAGTTCACGTCTTCACACACAGAGTTCATCAGCCACACAGGACCCTGCCCTGGGTCAGCAGGACCCCATAGTAACTTGGGCTCTGGCCAGGTCCTTGTGCCCACCACTTGAACATGCAGGACCTGCTGCCCAGAGACCGAGTCCAGCTCAAGGCCAGGGGCAGGACCCCCCCTCCCTTTGGGGTCTGGAAGTGGACCCCAAGAGTCTGGGCCCACAGCAAAGGGGGACAGTGGGTTCTAAAGGAGGCCACACAATGGGGTAAACCCAGCTGAGTGTAGGGACACTCCCCAATCCCTGTCCATGGGCCTGGGGTCCAGCAGTGGGCCACAAGCCTTCTGGTCCAGTGCCGAGGGCCAGGCAGAGGCCAAAGCTAGTGGCTCATCTCTCGGGCAGAAGTACGAAGAAGACAGCCTTCAGGAAGCGCCCAAAACTGCAAAATGCAGCCACCAGCCAGTGGGCACGGAGCCCAGGGTCCGTGCTGACCACACACTTGAGGACATCAGTCTGGAAGGAGGAGGAAACAGTGGTTAGAGAGGGGTATCACCCAAGCCCCCAGGAGGCAGGGTTGCATGGCTGACGTGGGTTTGATTCCCCCCAATCCCTCCAAAGGGACTAACAGAGTCAGGGGCTGTGGGGGTGAGGAGGCAGCTGAGCCTGGTCCAGCAGGGCCCTGCTGCTGTCCCCCTCCTCCTGTGTCCTATGCTGGGGAGCCCCCACCCTGCCCGTCCCCGACCCTGCTCACCCATCCACCGCGCCTCCGCAGCCAGTTGGCCAGGCTCTTGCGCACGAACTCCCCCAGGCAGTCCACCAGGGCGTGGACCATGGCGGGCTGGGCCTGCCGCACACAGTCCACAGCCAGCCCTGCAGCCACCGCGTACAGGGACACCACCTTGCCCCATGTGATGCCTGTGGAGAGATGGGTGTGGTCGGGAGTCCATGGTCTGGGCAGCCAGCGCCTAGTGGTCAGCCCCACCCAAGCTAACTCATGACTTGGCGGTCAGTCCTGTGGAGGCTCCTCAAGCCCCCAGGGCACCTGTATCCCACCCAACCAGCCTGCCACAGGGTCAGGAGCTGCAACAAGAGATATGGATTCTGTCTGTAGGTGGGTTCTTCTTCTCTTCCAGCTGGTGGTGGCCCCAGGAGATGACCTGTGGCTGCAACACTCCCATCTCGGCCTCCAACGTCAGTCATGGAGTCAGGAACCACCCAGACAATCCTGGACCCTCTCATCTTACACCCTGGTCTCGCACGTCTGCAGACACTTTCCTGAGTAGATTTCACCCAGGTTTCGGGAGGTGGGATGCTCACTGGGGAAGGGCTGGCAAGTTCTCAGGGGACTCAAGGCAGGGAAGGTGTCAGAAGATGGAGGAATCTTAAAGGCACTGGAGGGGTAATTTTCAACTTGTTGTGGGGAAGGGTCTTCCTGTACCATCCCACCTACAGCAAGCTCAGGGAAAAAACCATCACTGGCAACCCGGGAAAGACGAGGAGCACCTGTAACTACATACGTCTGTCTCCTTGATATCTAAAGAGATTTTCTAAATCGAGGAGTAAAGAAATCTGGGCACGTTAGGCGTTCATCACAAGTGTACCCTTGCCAGGGATCCCAAGAAAGGCAAATGACAAAGAGGCACGCAGTAAAGTGGAGCTCCAGAGGTTACTAATGTGTGGGTACGGTTTCACTGGCTGTAACAAACGGAGCCCACCCATGTGCAGGGGCGGGGGCAAATGACAATCTACTTTGTACACATTCTTCTGTAGATCTCAAATGTCTCTAAAAACAAATGTAGTCTTTTTAAAGAGTGATGTCAGCTGCTGCCTATTAGGTGGAAAACTGAAACGGCAACATGCGGGTAAACACGTAGCCAGTAAAAGTGAACAGGCAGTGTGGAGACATGCGGGAAACCACCAGCTTCCAGAAAATGTTCCAAGGAAACAGTGAGGCGTCTTCCACTGCCATCTGGTACAAAAGCTCTCCTTCCAGCTCCAGGTCCCAGTCCATCTGAGCTGTCTGGGTTCCCTGTACCCCAGCCTCAGTCAAGTCCCCTCCCTCTAGGAGCCTTCCAGGCCGCCAGACAATACCCATCCTGGTGATCAGGAGCTGCTGACCAGGTCTGAGCCCCTAGGACTGAGCTCTGGTCTGCCCACATGGGTCCCTTTTGCACCCAGCAGGGGTCACACGAAGCTGAAGGCACTGGGCATTGTCACCTCAGGGGTCAGGATAGGGTGGACCAGAGACTGGGAGTGTGGGGTCTGGTGGGGGACTGTGGTCTTTGTGCTCATCTGTGTTTTCTTTTCAAAAGTGAGATCTAACCCACATACTATTGCTTGGTAAAGTGGAGAATGAGTGAAAAACAAGAAGACCCCCAGCAAGATGGGTTAATACAGCAGTAACAGCAATGGACTCCAGCATAACCACTCTGAAGGTGCCACAGGACCGGGCACAGTTTGGTTCTATTGTGCACGGGGTCAGTATGAGTCAGCACCAACTCACAGCGCACACAACTACCACACGCCATAACAAAGGAAGGGTTGTCAGGGTCTTCACAGACCTGTGTGATCATCATTCTGACACGTTTTCATCATTCCCAGAGAAACCCCCAAACCCCACCAGCTGTCACCACAGCCCGAGGCCCTAAACCTTGTATCTCCAGGAAGCTGTTTACTTTGGACATCTTAGATAAGTGAGCTCATAGGGTATTTGTGCTTTGTGACGGACTTATTTTACCTAACATAATGATCTCCAGTTCCATTCTTCTGGTACCAGAACTTCCGTTCTCCTCATAACTGAGTAAGATTCCATCATATGTCCGTATCATATTCTGTTTACCCATCCATCTGTGGATGAACATTTAGGGTGCTAAATGTTTTAGTTTTTAGCTATTGTGAAAAACGCTGTGATGAACATTAGGGAACACTCATCTGTTTTGATTCCCGCTTTCACGTCTCTTGGGTTCGCATCATGATGTAAGTCTCTAACTTTTCCACAATGGCTGTACCACCAGCAATGAATGAAGGTCCCGTTTCTCCACATCTTCACCAACACAGGACACTTTCCGATTTTCTGGTGCAGGATTGTCTCACTGGTTTTGGTCTGCATTTCCCTGATGCCTAACGGTGTTGGACATTTTTCAGGTGTTTGCCGTCCATTTGCAGAGCTTCTCTGGAGAAATATCAATTCAAGTCCTTTGCCCATTTTTAGATTGCTTTTTTGTTGTTGAGTTGTAAGAGTTCTTGACATATTTCTTCTGTGTTTTCTGATCTTTCTGTGATAAAATATTGTGCTCTTGTAATAAGAATAATTACGGATTTTAAGCCCAAGGTGATAGCAGAGACAGGGGCTTTGAGTGTCGGCCACAGGCTGACCTGAGCCATTTATCAGCAGAAGTGGACAGGCCTGCCACCTCTGCAGCCCCTCACAGGCCACAGAGCCCTCCACCTGCCCTGCTCCAGGACAGTGGGTTCAGAGGTCAAGACAGCAGTCATAGGCTGTAGACCCATGAAGTACTGCCGAGGGCCCAGGTACCTGCGTACCTGACCGCTGTGACCAGACCACCCCAGAGCAGTATCAGGACAGGAATGGGGGTAAAGGCAGCCAAGACATGAGACAACCAGGTGTTACCTGACCCACTGCAAATGACACCAGCCACCTGTGCCGTAGGCTGCGCTGGAGCGCTCCCCTCGGAGCCTTGCTGGGCGCACCATCCCCGTCTAGGCTGAACTGCAGGTGAGCTTGTCTGTCCCCGGTCACACCAGCCTCCCTGTCCTCAGTCACACCCGCCTCCCTGTCCCCAGTCACACCCGCCTCCCTGTCCTCAGTCACACCCACCTTCCTCTCCCCTGCCCATACATATCCCAACCTCTGTCCCCTGTCACACCCACCTCCCTCTCCCCTACCCATATCCCAACCTCCCAGTCCCCGGTCACACCCACCTCTCTGTCCCCTTCATGCTCCCCCCCACCCCACCCCATGTCAGTCCGGGCAGCCAGGGCTGCCTCAGAGACATTCTTCCTTTTAAAGCCAGTTTTTGCCTCATAAACCGGACGCCTGACAGTCTGTAGACAGGCCCACGGCCACCCACACACAGGCGCCAGGCCCAGAACCCAGCCAGACACCAGGGTAACCCATGGTCCCCTCTGCTCCAGGGGCCCCCCCTGCTCCGGCCACTATCGCCCTGTGCTGTCCACCCCCTTCCCACCCTGCTGTAGTCTGCTGGCCCTTCACCTGCCCACTATCCCCCAGCCTCGGCCTTGGCCTCAACAAGGGCCAAGTTGCTGACCTGAGACTTCCTACGATGTCATCCACCTCCTGAAGGGCCTACCCTCAGGCCTCCCTGCAACCTGCACCTCCAGGTAAACCTGCACACCTGCTTTCTAGTTGCCGAAGGTAACAGAGCTGGGTACAGAGTGGGGGCTGCCGTAAGGTGTGAGGGCAGCATCCACATACCTGTGTCCCCCAGCATGTCCCTCACCCACTGGCTCGGCCATCTCACCAGCTACACCAGCACCCTCAAAGGCTAACCTCCCCCGACCACTGATGTGGGCTGGGCCTCTCCAGGGCCACCGGGTGGACGCAGGATGGCCCCAGCTGGGCTTCGTTCCCAGGAGAGTCAGCACGGGGCTGTGAACACTCCGGAAGGGTCTCCGCCACAGACCCACCCTTCCCAATAGACCCACAACAGACAAGACACAACCACAGAAGGAAAGGCAGGGTCCCCTGGCTTTTCACCTGCCCTCTGGATCACAGAAGTCCCCTGAGGAAGGGACCAGTTCCTCCAATCCCAGACTCTCCCCTGACGCCCCCCTGTCTTTTCACAAGGTGGGGACTGAGGCCCCCAGTGCATCCTGTGGATCAGGGCAGGAGTCCAGAGGGGGCTTGGACCCTGTAGGATTGTGAGGCGGGGCTGGCCTGGAGCCTGGGCAGTCAGGGCAGGACGCTACAGGTGGCCCTTGGCAGGGAGACCGGGGTCTGTAAAGCTAGCAGGGGTCCCACTGGCAGAACCCGCTAAGCAGCTGGACCGATCCTCAGGCCAGGGGAGGCCAGGACTCCAGAAGGCAGCAATCAAAGGGACAGCGGGGGAAGGCGGACACTCCTTGTGGGGCATCCAGAGACTGGGGGGGGGCGGGGGGCGCAGTGACCCAGAAAGACCGCATGGGGGGCAGCCGGCTCATACCAGCTGCTTGCATCTCCAAGGAGTCCATCAGCCCCCTCCCACCATTCTCACCCTTTGTCTAGCCCCGTTCCTGGGACAAGCCTCTGACCCACAGAATTCGGCGGTGACACCGTGTGATCCGAAGCCCGGTCACAAGAGCCTGGTCCATCTACCTGGCCCCCCCTGCTCCCTCAGCACCTGATCTTGTGGTCAGAAGCTCACGTGAGACCCCGGGCAGGCTCCAACAATAAACCTGGCTGTAGCCATATCGGGGCTCAGGGGAGTTATCCTGGGAACCCCAAGTTACCCTTGAGTTCAGTCTAAGTCCCTACTTTGGGGACAGCTTGTCAGTCAGCAATAATTAAACCCAGCTGGTAGAGTGACTCAGTCCCAGAATGCTGTGCTTTGGGGGATTCTTGAGCTGGGGTGTGGCCAGGGGTAGGGCCGGGGCTGGCCTGCCTACCTGCAGAGAAGATCTGGGTAGCCACCGCCAGGAATGCATCCGTCACCACCGTCTCACACTGCAAGGAGAGGTTCAACTGCCGGGCCACGTTACGATAGACGCTGGGCCGGATCAACTCCAGCTCATCCCCTGTGTGAGCACCAGCAGTCAGAGGACGCAGGGCCCACCCCACCAAGGCCCCAGGACAAGGGGCCAGGGAGGTACCTGGGTGCCCCTGGACCTGAGTCTCAGGTGGCCCTGCCCTCCTTACAAGCCAGCCCCCCAGGGCAAGCCGGCTGGGCCGGTGCAGCGGGAATCACAGAGCTGGGATGTGGCTGCTCTGGGTTGTAGCTGCTCGGTGGGTGACTCAGGGCCCCCACCAAGCGGCCTGAGGCAACAGCAGGCTGGGGGTGGGGGTGGGGCACGGGGGCGGACAGAGCACAGCCAGGGAGGCTGGGGAGGCACCCAATCGAAGATGAAACCACACCCCAGACTCCAAGCAGCGCTGTGGGGATCCAAGGCACAGCGGCCATCAGCCTGAATTCCACGCCATGTGGGACCCAGTGTCCCCCCAAAGCCAGCCAGGGAATGCTGCCAGCTGGACATCCAGGGTCAGTTGCACTCCATCTGATTAAAAGCTAGATGGAAGAGGGCCCTGTGGGGGAAGGGTGCCATGGAAATTCCCCGGGCTGGACTGCTGGACTGATGAAGGCCAGTCCCCCGAGGATGGCCACTGGGGTCATCACCCGGCTTCTTGCTTCTTCCTGTGAGACCTGCCCCATGGCCCCTGTGGCCTCTGCCCCCAGGAACCTTTGGCCATCTGGGAATGGGAGTGGGACAAGGGCCTGAAGACCTAGCTTCCAGCTAGCCCCTGCCCTGTGCTTGGTCTGCCTTGATTTGTCTTCCTTTCATCCAATCTCTATAGCCCATGGAAGGGCCAACCCAGGACCCCTGGGGTCCCACAGCAGGCCAGGACAGAGCCATCCTGATACTACTAACAGGGTCTCAGGATTACAGCCTGGGGGGGGAGGGGAGAGGGGAATGGCTGACTCAGGAAGTCCCCAGCCTTTGACTCCCAGCAGATACCCCAAACCCTGCAGGTTCCGGTCTTTCTCTACCTATGAACCTCCCCTTCCTGCCAGAAAGTGACACACAGCCCGCCCCCTGGAAAGGCCAATCTGTGGGGGGAATCCCTATGGGTCAGCATGGCATCCGGAACATGGGGGACAGGAGACTCAGTCCTGCAGCCGTCAGGACCCTGGGGGACGCTGGGGACAGTTAGGCTGTGAGTCATCTCAGGAAAAAATACACAGGTGGCTTCACATCTACCCACCCCCCCAGACGTCCCCGTGGGTTCTTGGTCACCCAGCACCCCACAGTTCTGGAAGACCTCCAAATCCAGAGGAAATATGAGGCCCAGACAGGCCCCCAGCCAGTAGCTCTGTGGACGATTTCCCAAAGCAAACATCAGGACACGTGATTTCACAAAGGATTTTGTGCCCAGCTGAGAACAGAGGTCACTCCGAGGTTCAGCCTCTAAAACCTCATTCTATTGTTTGTGGCCAGAATGCCTGAAATCTGGGCGGCACGGGCAAACCTGACGGTCTGTGGGGAGGACGGGGCCCGGGCTGGGGCACGCACTGCTCTCCATCCGGCGGGAGTCCAGGGCCCCCAGCGCAGGGGGTGGCCCCCTCGGGCCCGCACTCACCCAGGCGCAGCAGCACCGCACACACCTCGGCCAGGCGGCCGCCCGGGGGCGCGGCGCGATCAGGCGCGTTCCAGGCCAGGCCGGCGCGCAGCAGCCGCGCATGCACGAACTCGCGGCCGAGCGCCTTGGCCTGGGCCACCAGCTCCTTGTCGGTGGGCGAGCGGTCAAAGGCGTCCATGATCTCGGCAGCGAAAACCGAGGAGCGCCGCAGTACTTCCATGGCGGAGACGCGGGCGTGGGGCGCCGCACCTGCGGGCAGAGAGTGCTCAGCGGGGGCGTCCCGAGGGAGGGCAGTGGACTTGGAGAGGGGGCGCTCCGGCCGTGCGCTGCAATAGCCTCCGTGCACCGGGCGGGGCGCGCCTGGGTAACCGCTCGTTTTTATGGCCTGAATCTTAAACAACGTTGTCACTTTGTTTTTAAGATTCCGAATTGAATCTAAAGCCCGGGTCACGAGCAGCCAGTGGTCGGAGGGGACCGGGGGAAGGGGGAATCGGCCATTTGCCCTGGGGCCACCATGTCCCGGCTCGAAGACGAGGGCCGGGGCGCAGGGCAGGGGGCGCGGCCCAGCGCGCCCGAAACTAAGCGACACCCAGGGCCCCGTTCCATGCCCCGCGCGGCTCCGGGCCACCCACCTCGGGGCCTGGCTGTCTTCTGTGTATGTCCCCTGCCTCGCTGTCCCCATGGCGCGAGGGGTACGGCACGCCGCGCCCGCCCCTGCTCACCTCTCCCGCCGCATGGCGCGGGGGCCGGGGCGGAGTTCTGGCTTCACCACCCGCTCGCCGCCGACTCTGCGGATCTCGATCCTTCCATTCAAACCCGCGAGGACGCGCGCCCCGCCCCGCCCCGGCGCCCGGCCCGTCCACGCCCGCGCTGCAGGACTGCGGCTCCGCTGGGTCTCCGCGCTCTCCCGGGCTCCAGTCGGCACTATTGCGGACAAGGGATACGCGGGGAACACCGCGCGACTCCTCGCCGACGGGAGGCGAGGCTAGAGGCTTCGCCTTCTAAGGACAAGGAAACCCCCGGGGGAGGAGTCGCGGGGACGCGCCAGGAGCCGCCCCCGCCGCCTCGGGGCTTAAGGAGGAATGCGCGAATTCCCGGGAGGGGCTTGGGGTGGGACCGGGCTGGGAACTAGGCGGTGCGTCCAGAGATGAGGGCCTCACTCGGACACTAGACGCCTGGGTTCACGTCCGGCTCCATTCTAATACGGGTTGTACGTTTCCTGGATGCTCGGCTGTGTCTGTGTTGCAGGTATTGGCTTTTGCTTTTACTGAACAGAGTGTATGGACTTTGCCTTTCTAGTTAGTACTTTTTCGTGAAGATGCTCTCTGACGCCTTTTTCTAAAAGCTTCATTATTTTAGCATTCACCTTTAGCTCTGTGGTGGACCACAAGTTAATTCCTGTGAGTGGTGTGCGGTAGGGAGGCGGGGCTTATTTTTTTCCATATCGATAACCACTTGACCCAACATATTGAAAAGACCGTCCGTTTCCCACTGAATCGAAGAACTCACCATAACTCAACTGTCTGTATATGTGAGGGCATCTTTCTGGACTCCATCCCACTGGTCTATTTATCTGTCCTTGACCCGCTATCACACAGTTTGAGCGACATTACTAACTTGATCTAATTCACATATAAACAAAACTTCACCCTACAACAGTGGAATGCTCTCTCTGTTCATGTGCACATAGGACATAGATCAAAATCGACCACTGTTGTGAAGCGCCATCAAGTCGGTTCCAACCCATAGCCACCCTATATAGGGTTTCCGAGGAGCGGCTGGTGAACTTGAACCACCAAACTTGTAGTTCAGCGCTACACACCAGGACCCCAAATCGACCATATCTTTTCTACTATTGAGTTAATTAAAGTCAATTGTAAAAAAGTTCCTTGAAATGCTCCAAAATGTTTGAAAAGTAAACATCACAGTTCTCAATAATAATAAAAAATCACAATTGTTGTTAGGTGCCGTGGAGCCGGTTCCGACCCATAGCGACCCTTGTACAGGGTTTCCGAGGCTGTAAATCTTTACGGGAGCAGAAAGCCTCATCTTTCTCTTGCAGAACAGATGGTAGTTTCGAACCTCTGACCTTGAGGTTCGCAGCCCGATTCGTAACCACTACGCTACCAGTTGTTGTTGTTACATGTCGTTGAGTCGGTTTTGACTCATAGCGACCCTTGTACAGGGTTTCCGAGGCTATAAATCTTTACAGGAGCAGAAAGCTTCATCTTTCTCCCGCGGAACAGCTGGTAGTTTCGAACCGCCGACCTTAAGGTTTGCAGCCCGATTCGTAACCACTACGCTACCAGAGCTCCTATAAATCACAGTAGAGGCTGTAAAATAGTTTGAAGGGAGCAATCACGAAAATAGGACGTTTGAAGCATTGTGGGATACCTCACTAAAACAGTACTTAGAGGGCAATTTAATCCTTTAAAAAAAAGGTTGAAAATTATTTTTCTAAGCATCCAACTCAAGAAGCCAGAAGAACAGCAAATTCAGCCCAGAAATGAAAGGACATAATTAAAACAGAAAGAGCATCAACAAAACCCAAAGTTGCTTCTGTGAACAGATAAATAGAATTGATAAACTCCTAGAAAGATTAAGAAAAAAGAAAACACCAATTTTTAAAATCAGGGATAGAAAAGGGGATATCACTACACATCCTACACATATTAAATGATATGAACAACTTTGTTTGGATATATCAAAAAATTTTAATGAAATACAACTTACCAAAACTGACACTAGGAGAAACAGAAAACTTGGATATTACCACACCAATGAAATAAATGTAATCCATAATTTTAAAACCTTCCCACAAAATTCTAGAGTCAGAATGCTTTAAGGATATTTTTTTCTAAAGAGTTAAAAAAAGATCACAAATCTTACAGTCTTACACCAACCCATCCAGAGATTAGAAAATGAAAGCACACTCCTAATTCATTTTCTGAGGACAACCTGACACTGAGCCTTCACTTCTCCATCTGTGCAACAGAGAAGGCTCCTGGCCAGACTCCCCAGAAGACTGCATGGGAAGTCATCTAGCATGGGTTTTAAATTGTTGTCCTGTAGGAAGTGCTGAATAATGGAAGACTACAAAATCCTCGAATATGTGACCCTGGTTACAGAGTCGGGACACCAAGGGCAGAGTCTGCTTCCGGTCTTTCTGAAGAACCTCCAGATTTGGGGTCCCTAACTTGGTGTGGCGCTGTAGGATCAGCACTGGATTGTTAATCACAAGGTTCGTGGTTCAAAGCCATCAGCTACTCCTTGGAAACCTATACAGGGTCGCTATAAGTCAGACCCACCCGATGGCACTTAAGAAGAACGTCTTCTATAGAGTTGGGCAGTGAGTAAGGAAGACTGTTGAAGAATGGATGCATTTGCTTTATGATGTTGGAGAAGAATATTGAAAATACTATGGCCAGCCAGAAAAACTGCTGGAAGAAGAACCACCGGAATATTCCTTAGGAGCAAAGATCTTCAGACATGTCATCAGAAAGGACCAGTCCCTGGAGAAGGACATCATGCTGGTTAAAGTGAGGGTCAGCAAAAAGAGGAAGACCCCACCCCCCACCAGGTGGATCGGCACCGGAGTCACAGCAGTGGGCTGAAGCATACAAACAATTGTGAGGGGGGGCCCGGAGCGGGTGGTGTTTCCTTCTGTGGTGCGTACATGTACTCTATAGCTTCTAACAACAACAGCATGAACATCTTTTAAAGGGAATCCTGCTGTGGCGCTGTAGGATAAACACTGAACTGCTAACCACAAGGTTGGTGGTTCAAACCCACCAGCCACTCCACAGGACAACGACGCGGCTCTCTGATTCCATAGGATTTATGGAGCAGTTCTACTTTGTCCTATGTTGTTGGCTGTTCAGTGCCATGGAGTCAGTTCCGATTCATAGTGACCCTGTATAGGGTTTCCATGGAGCAGCTGTTGAGTCTGACCCACCGGTCTCGCAGTTCAGTGCTTGCCTTACAGTACCACACCCGGACTCAACAGCTGTAGCTTTGATTTGTTTTCTAATATTTTATAGATGGAAGTATAGAAATTTGGGACATGAGAGGTACCCCCCAACTCTGAGAAATCATTGTAGCACTGGAAGAGCCAGGTTCTGAAACCTGGATTCTGACTTCAAGGCTTCCAGAAAGTTCTTCCAGCAAGGGAAGACTCTACAGACTGGAGGCCTTCCCGACCCCCACTCCATGGCTTCAGGCAGCTTCCTGACCATGAACAGCCTCAATTTCTTTGCTTGAAAAAGCGGTTCTATTCTCTGGGAGCAGGGTGGGGATATGTGGGCTCCATGTGGGAGTGCTGAAGGACAGGAATCATGGATAAATGTACACATTTAATACAGTCCCTTCCATCCAGGGGACCCAAGAACGATCCAAAGCTAGGACGTTCAACACAGAGCACCAACAACCTTGGAATGAGCCCCGCTGTAGCATCCAGACCACAAAGCCCGAGTCCCCACACCCTTTACAGCCTGGACAGTGCAGCATCCAGCCCCTGAGACCTGGAGGAGGCCTGAGCTGCCCTCAGCCTTAGTCCCCAGTCACCCAGTGTTCTGACTTCCCGGGAGCAACTCTGGGCCTCACGGAATCCCTGCCCTCCATCCTGCTGCATCTGACCCCTGTGTGGCCTGGTGTTGACCCTTTCCAGTGTTTTGAGTTGGGGTTTCTGCCCCCTGCAGCTGAGAGTACCCCACGATTAATGAGGGCACTTGTCTTGATAGAAGTGGAGTGTCCGTTCCAGAAGGGCTGGTTTTGCGGAGGGAAAAAGACAGAAGTAAGTATGTATGTCCCAGGTGAATGGTGATACACCCTCGGACAAGGGCCAGGGTCCCTGGGAGGAGGTGGCAGGCTCAGCCAGGGCTGAGTCCCCTCCCCCAAAGACCCCAGGTGATCGGCCCTAGAATACTGTCCACACCACTGGCCTCCTCTGAGCTTGTACAGGCCTCTTCCTGAGCCTGCCCCTGAGGTGTCTGAGCTGCCAGTGTTTGCAGGGACTGGACAGGGAGAGGGGGGCTCCTGGGGGTAGATGGTGTATGGATGGGGCTGGATGGGGGATGGGTTGAATATAGACAGGGTAGGGTGGGGCCAGGGACATGTTTAAACTAACTGGATGGAGCCTAGACAGTGAGCACATGGCCTGGAGGAAGCTGGAGAGTCCCTGGTTGGGGCGTGGACAAGGCCTAAATCAGTGTACATGCGGTCAGGTGAGCTGACAAGCTGGACAGCACAGGGTGGTGAGGACGGGGTGGACTTGTAGGCTGTGGGGTTCACCCAAGGCCTCAGGGCACAGGGCACACTCAGGGTGAGGGTCCCTGAGGGGCTCTAGGTGGCTCTTCCTGTGTTCCCAATGTGGCCAGTCCACGGGCAGCTCATGGGCTATTCAAGCTCATGTCTACAAGGCCCATCGG